GAATCGTTTATACAAGAATAGATAAGTAAATGCACAAACAAACTCCCTTGTTGTTGAAAATTCTTTCTCTTCTTGTCCCTTGATTTGAGTCGAATCAAGTTCTTTGATTGTTTATGGATGAACCTCTGATTACAGCTCCTTGGTTGAACAACCTTGCATTTTCAAACCCCAGCCCGACTGATATCAAACACTTTCTAATCGAACCCAAACCTCTCCTTCATAATTCACCGATTCCCGCTACTAGATCGACGGAACCCACCGCTCCTCGATCACCTTCGCTCAGCTGAATATATGTTGAGAAGATTCGTACCAAAAACCCCCAAATTCACTGAATCTTGGAGGACAAAACTCTCAAGAGTGTTTAGCCGTGGGGAGAGCTGATGCTATTAGTTAAGAAGAAAGATGGTAACATGAGGTTGTGTATTGACTATCGACAACTGGAAAAAGATACTATCAAGAATAAGTTGGTTGGTGCATACATTCAGAACGAGATATGACCACTATGAGTATTCTATGATGCCATTTGGTGTGGCTAACGCGCCTAGAGTGTTCATGGAGTACATGAATAGAATATTCCGTCTATACTTATATTAGTTTGTGATTATGTTCAACGATGATATTATGATATATTCTAAGTTTAATGAAGAGCATGCGGAGTATCTAAAAGATGTGTTGCAGACCTTGAAATAAAAGAAGTTGTATGTGAATTTATCTAAGTGTGACATTTGGTTGAAAGAAGTGAGTTTCTTTGGTCATGTGATATCTAGTGGTGGTATTACAGTGGATCTATCAAAAATAGATGCAATATTGCAGTGGGAGACTCCAAAGTCTGTTACACAGATCAGAAGTTTTCTTGGTTTGGATGGTTATTATAGAAGATTTATTGAAGGCTTTTCGAAGTTAGAATTTCTTTTGACTCAATTGACTCAAAAATATCAAGATTATGTATGGAGTGTTCAGTATGAAGATAGTTTTCAAGAACTCAAGAAGAAGCTAACATCAACTCCAATTTTTAGTTTTCCAAGTCCAAGTGAATCATTTGTTATGTATTTTGATGCTTCGAAGATGAGTCTAGGTGGTTTGTTAATGAAGAATGGTCAGGTTGTGGCTTATGTTACAAGACAATTGAAAGTTCATGAGCTAATTATCTTGCACGTGATCTAGAGTTGGCATTCGTGGTGTTTGTGTTAAAAATTTGGAAGCATTATCTGTTTGGATGCAGAAGTTGGGTGAATTGTATATTTAGAAGGTTGTTAGCTTGCATGGTATTCCTTCGAGTATTGTTTTTGATAGACGTCCGAGATTCACATCAAGGTTTTGGGGGAGTTTGCAGGAAGCCATGGGTACTAAGCTGAAGTTGAGTTCTGCTTATCATCCGCATATAGAAGGTTAGACAAATAGGACTATCCAATCTTTAGAGGATTTGCTGAGAGCTTGTGTTTTGGAGTAGGAAGGTAACCATGACAGTTACTTACCATTGGTTGAGTTTAATAAGAATAATAATTTCTATTTTAGTATTGAAATGACACTGTTTGAGGCTTTGTATGGTAAAAGGTGTAGGACACCCTTGTCTTGGTATGATTCTGGTGAAAGTGTTGTGCATGGACCTAAGATTGTTCAACATACTACTGAGAATATCAAGATGATCCAAGAGAAGATGAAAGCTTCGTAGATTCTCGAAAAGAGTTATCATGATAAGAGGAGGAAAGCACTTGAGTTCTAGAAGGTAGATCATGTATTTTTGAAAGTCACTTTGGTGAGAGGTGTTGGTTGTGCTTGGAATTCTCAAAAGTTCACACCGTGTTTCATTGGCCTTATTAGATTCTAAAGCGAGTAGGAGAAGTGGCCTACAGATTTACTTTACTACCATTTATTTTGAATCTTCATGATGTCTTTCATGTGTCTCAGTTGAGGAAGTATATTCATGATCTGTCTCATGTGATTCCAGTGGATAATTTAGAAGTTAGAGAGAACTTGATCGCCGAAGCATCTCCCATGAGAGTACAGGATTGCTAAGTCAAGCACTTAAGATGCAAAGAGATTTCGCTGGTGAAGATTGTAACACCCTTCTAAACCCCGTAATATATATATATATATATATATATATATATATATATATATATATATATATATATATATATATATATATATATATATATATATATATATATATATATATATATATATATATATATATATATATATATATATATATATATATATATATATATATATATAAATGATCAAAATGAATTATCATGCATCTCACAAAAGGGTGTCACATAAAATTTCAAAACATCACATAAATATGTCATGCTCAATAACACTTAAAAAAATTCATGTTTTTTATACACTTTCACATTATCATGTAGCAGCGGATTTACTTCAATCATAATGAACATAATGAAAGTCTCATGATCATCTTATTCATAATCAATACTTAGGCATAAAAGCCAATATTCCACATAAAATTCAAATAAACATAAAAAACCATAAAGTATATTATATAATGTATCTCTCAAATATAAATCAAAATGATCCTAGTGTTACATGATCAGAGCACGACTCGACTCAACATAAATAAAGACACAAATCAAACTACTCCAACGGCTACATCGCGCTAGAATAAACTCTACTCCTCGGTACCTGAGCGATGTCGTAAAAAAACATCCTTACAACAGAAGGGTGAGAATTCACATAATTACTGATATTATAAGATAATATATAATTTAAGGCATACAAGCATAATCCCAATCATTCTCGCACTTCAAAGTTTCATCAACAAAGTATCACTCAAGTAACCATACCATTCACAAGTATATACACACAATCTACAATTTACCAATTTAACAATTCACATATATGCACATAATATCATATCACCAACATATACACAATGAAACTCAATTCAAAACTTAATGCAACTCATGCCATGTGGTACCAACACTTGTTATTATTTTTCAGTTTTTACATTTAAACCGGGTTCGTTCCCTATACCAATAACATACAAAAGCTCATTGCCTAAGCTTTAAAATCTTGCTCTAGGTTTGGGACAAGTCGCTAGCTCCTATGGAACTAATAAGCATTGTCTCTTGACGTAAATGATCCGTATGCAAATTCAACAACTATATGCAATTAAGACCATACACAAAGCTTAATATCCACACATATCTTCAATAATTCATCACACTTGAATTACCACATCTTTGCACATACACAAGTATCAACACAATCCAACTTCAATTTACAAAACACATATCACTAATTGAACATAGAATAATTAATCCATCATTAATAATTAAAAATTTGATATTCAAATAAATATTCACTACTCAATAAATATTCAATAATTATTCAATATTAAATAAATATTTCAATATGTTAATATAGATCCAATATTTAATAAAGTTTCAATATTTAAATAATAATTAATATTTTAATAATAATCAATCTTTTAATAATAATCAATATGGTAATATAGACCCAATTCCATAATTAATACATTTTTCTATAACCAAAACAAGGCGCCCTGTAGCATCATGATGTAGAAAAATTTTCACATATATTACTCTTACCTTTTATGATGCACTACAGTAATAAATTGGAGGGGTCACTTGACATTATTCTATGAACCATCATCATTTCTTTTAATAAAGTGTCAAGCAAAATTAATGAAGAGTTAACTGATAACTAAAAGGAAATGCCACCTTTAATTTCCTATTATTCATGCCTATTATTATTATATTAATGAAATGGCTGAATATGTGCTACTGATAAAAGAGAAAAGGAAAAAGTCACGTTTTATACCAAAGAGCCTTGTTCCACATTATCTATTATACATAGGTATTAAAGTAGAAACTTTTTAAATTAACACTCGGTAAATTAATAAACTCTCTAAAATCATAAATTTGTCCGATCCCGATTTGGGCCAATGTAAAAAATTGAAAAACTCAATAAAATAATAAGATAATAATTTTTTGGGAGATCCCTTTATAATTTTTGGTCTCAAGAAAATCATAAATTAATAATTCATAGAAACTGAAAAAAAATATATATTACACTCTATTGAAATATGATTCTATAGTTGTTTGTTTTTCTTTAAAGTTCAAGTCTATTTGGAGCTCATCTCTAACTTTTCTTATTGCATCCAATAGCTCAAGTGTTGTATTTTTGTATTGTATCATAAATTTGCGAGGAGTGTTCAACGCCATAAGTGCTTCCTTTCGCGTAACAGGCTCCAAAGACACCGTAACATCTTCGCCGTCATCCTCTACATTATTCTCAATGATAGTACCCACAATATCTTCTAAACTCTGAACCTCCGAACATGCTTAATTTTCACCTGGGTAGTTCATTAGATTATTGATATCCATCTTATTACGATAGCCATATTGATTGATCATAGTCTCGAGGTCTTGAGTTTCTTCATCAAAAGTGGATTCATCCAAATTTCTTGCAACGTCACTAGCTGAACGAATTTTACAATGTCGGAAGCAATTCGCTATTGTTTCTTTTTGAACATCTATCGTCCAAGCTAGGATTGCCAAATTGATAGCATCAAGGACATTTATCTTCCTTGGATCAGATTGTCCCACCTCATAACCTTCCAATATTTTGCGGTAAAACCTTCTACGGTAATGCATCTTGAAAGCTCTTATTATCCCAACATCGCAAGGTTGAATCTTTGATGTCATGTTAGGTGGCAAGAAGAACAACTCAATGTTTCTTAGTCCTTCAATATTTCTTAGATGTGCTGGACAATTATCCACCACAAGTAGAACTCTTCTACCATGCATCATTTGGTCAAATGAACGAACATATTAATAAAAAAGCACACTAGTCATCCATGCTTTTTTGTTAGCTTGATACTAACAATCCAAGCTATTCATGTTGACATTCTTGAAGCAACGAGGCATTGCATATTTCCCAATAATCCATAGAGGGATTTTTTCAGAGCCATCTTCATTGCAACAAATAACTATCGTCAGCCTTTCTTTATCTTATTTTCTTCCTTCAAGTTGTTTTGTTGCCAGTGAATGATCAGCTTGTAGCCTATAAAACAACCCAGTTTCATCCATATTGAAAACATCTTTCATAGGGAACTGATCAATTTTCTCCCGAATCAATACCATTTTCTGCTCCATGTCTTGTACATCAACAGACTCACTCTCGCCAAAATGACGAAATGACTTTATGCCATGTAGGTTCTTGAATTTCCCAAGCCATCCTATAGAGAAGTTAAAATCTGAATCATCATGAGGGTACACGAGTTTCATTGTATCTCTTGCCTTCTGCAAAATTAATTCTCCTGTGATATTCATACATTCTTGATGCTAGAGAAACCACTCATAAACAACCTTCTCCATGTCAGTATATTTTGCTGGTTTGTGTCTTTTGATCTCTGCTCTTCCCTTTTCTATTTCAGCAAAGATATAGTCATCTGATCGATTAAGTGTGTTTGATATTGTTCCTTGACTAACTTTCAACTGAAATTTTTCCTCAAGCCATCTCTACAAGTCTTTTTGTATGCTTGCAGGATTATCTCTCTTGCAGGATCTGACATATTTGATTTTGCAACACCTTTTAGATGAGAAACCATTTTTTGAGATATGGTTTGAATACTCTAACACATTCATGTAATTTATATATGGCAAACTTGCTTAAGAATACATTGAACACATTTGTTCCTCTTGTTCACATTTACTGTACTTTAAAAGTCATTATTGATTTCCAATGCATATGAACACAGTAGTTACTAATTCATGTTGAGTCCCAAGGTTCGCTGCATCATAATTCTAAGAGACATAGACTAGTTTGCCTATTTGTTTGGTATGTATAATATAATTACTTAAAAACTCTTTAAATTAATAATTATTAATTTATCGATAAATTAATAACTTTCTAAATTAATAAATTTCTCTGGTCCTGACATTATTAATTTAAAGAGTTTCTACTGTACTTCATTCCCAATTGTTTTTCTTGATAAACACTACAACATTGGAATATTGCTCTACAATGCCAACCTACATTATATAAAGGATCCCATTATTCTACTTGTTTGTTACAACATGAGAATTAAAGAAATTATATCTCATTTCTATCACCATTGTGTCTCTACAGTAAGGAGAAAAAAAAGGTCATGTTACATGCTTATGATCCTTGCGCTACAGGGTGTGAAATGAAAATTAATTTTCATTTCTATACTAATCTATTTAGTCTAGTATTGAATGGACCTCTATAGTATACTAATATATCAATTCCAAACACAACTAAATTAACACATCTCAAAGATTATCCCTAAAACTTAACAATTTCAAATTCATGGAAAATTTAGGGGTTTCAGCCTAAACATGTTTCTACCCATTAAACACCATCAAATAATTCCAATAATCATGTAAAAACCCAACCTTATCTTTGTTTTTGATGATTCTTGAGGTCTCTCTTGGTTCTTCTTCTTCTCCATCCTTCCTTTTCTCTAGCATCTTTTTCCTCTTTACCAACTTTCTAACCCTTTTCTTCCTCTTTCTCTACTTTACTAACTCTCACAATTTTCTCATAAAACTATTCGACACACTCAACCCCCATCACAACTTCTATTCGCACCCTCAATTAAGCCCAATTACTAATTCTAACAATTCTATATTATTCTACCAAATAGAATATATCAAATAAATTAAATAATCAAATTAAATTAATTATTTCAAATATGTCCAATAAATCAATTAATCCAAACAACTCAAATAAATCAAATAATTTATATAAATCTAATAAATAAATTAATTCATATAAATCAAATATTTCATATAAATTCAATAAGTCAACTAATTCAAATATATCAAGTAAATCCATTAATTCAAATAAATCAATTAATTGAATTAATTTAAATAAATCAATTAATTCAAATAAATCACATAAATTAGTTAATTCGATTAGGCACAAAATCACACAATTAATCAATTAATTTAATTAAATAAATAATTACTAAAAATTGGGGTGTTACAACCCTCCCCCACTTAAAAGATTTTTGCCCTCGAAAATTACCTCAAACGAACAACTCAGGATAAGACTCCCTCATCTGACTCTCAAGCTCCTAAGTCACGTTTCCACCAGCTGGTCCTTCCCAAGCGACCTTCAGCAAAACAATCTCTTTACCCCGAAGTTGCTTCAACTCCCGATCCTCTATCCGCATAGGTGATGTCTCCACAGTCAGGTTATCTCTCACATGCACATCATCTACTTGGACTACATGAGACGGATCCGTAGTGTATTTCCTCAACTGAGATACATGTAACACATCATGGAGAATAGCAAGCGATGGCGGTAAAGCAACCTAATAGGCTACCTCTCATATCCTCTACAAAATCTGATAAGGACCAATAAAATGCGGCGTCAACTTACACGACTTCAACATTCTACCAACACCAGTTATCGAAGTAACTCGAAGAAAGACATGATCTCCCTCTTGAAATTCAAGTGCTTTCCTCCTCTTGTCATGATAATTTTTTGACGACTCTGAGAAATCATCATCTTCTCTTGAATCATCTTAATCTTATCAATATTCTGTTGGACTATCTCGGGTCCAACCACAACATTCTCTCCCGACTCATACCAACACAATGGCTGTTAGACTATGGCACGGATCTAGAAGGGGGGGTTGAATATATCCCAATTAAAATTTGAGTCGACGCTACCAATTTAAAATTGGTTTTAAAAATGTTTTAAGTGCAGAAGCGGCCGAGGAAAAATATAGTCTAAAACGAACGGTTATTGGAAAACCGGATATACGTAAGCCTATGGATTAATGACAATTCGGAAAAATAGAATCCCAACACAAACTACCTTTATCAATTATTTACTTCAGTTGTACGGATTCCTAGTTCCAATGATCCAAAATTAAACCAAAACTAGATACACAAGTAAGGTAATTTTGGTTCAAGCAATATGTCAAACACTTGGTGCGCAAAGACACTCCAAGTGATGTTTATGTTGAGTAAGTGATTTCAATCAGCCTAGTACAATGTTTTGTTGTACATTAGAGTTAAAAACAACGTTTTAATCTCTTACTCAATTAATATCACAGTTTTGACAATAGAGCTTACACAAAAATTACTTATTTGAGTGGTAACGAAAATGCTGAAAATAAAGAAGACAAGTAATTTGGTGAGGCAGTTCCCCCGTCGTCCTCGCTTCGGGGTACGTCTGCCCTCAATTCTAAAACTAGAATTGAGATATATTGTATAGATATCACCTGTTTGAATGAACAATTTATACAAGGATTGAGCAGCAAATATACAACAAAAATCTCAATGTGTTGAAAGTTGCCTTCACTCCTTGCCCCTTGATTCAAGCTGAATCAAGTTCTTCGATTTATGTTGATGGACCTCCGACTCCAGCCACCTTATTGAGGAACACGTTGTTGTTCAAACCTTTGGCTCCGGCTGATCTCAACAGCACCAAATCGAACCCGAGATCTTCCCTTCAAAATCACTGAATCCGCTACTAGACTTGTGAAGACCACCTCTTCACAATCACCTTCGCTCGATTGATCGTTGATGAAGAATCTCGTCCAAAAAACCCCTAAAATTCGAACCAATCTTGGAGGGCAAAACCCCAATGGTTTTATTCAAGAAAGAACCTGTCGCAATCTTCAACCCGAGCTTGATTCTCCAATCTAAGCCTCGAACCTTATCACCTTGAATCTTTCACAAATGCATTTCAAAAATGATTGTGTGTAATTGAAATGTTGTGAGATGTTGAAGATGAAGATGATGAATCTTGGACACCTATTTCACTCTTTCTTGTTTTTGAACACATGAATCAAAAGAATATCAAATGTTATTAGACACAAGTGTTTAAGCAAGTATATATAGTGCCCACAAAATTCAGGACATAACAGTATTTCAAATATGAGAGGGAACAAAGTTAAAACAGTTTTTCCGCGCGAACGGTCGACCATAACAGGTCTCTGCATCGATGCATGGCCTGTGATGTTTTAAATTTCTGGAATTTTCATCAGTATGCGTCGACCATACAGTCGACGTGCGCTGACCCGTTGAAATTCTTTTCCTTTGTGCACCGACCCTATGGTCGACCAAAGACTTTATGCGTTGACCCGCTAGAATATCATTCCTTCATGCGCTGACCCAATGGTCGACGCATGCTTTGTACACTGACTGGTCTTCCCTTGTTTCTGATGGATACGCCGATCCTATGGTCAACCCATGTCCTGCAAGCCTGCAAAATATCGTTAGTTTGAAGTTTTTCATGCCTTTAGTCATGATTTCATTTTGTCAACTCAAGGTATATTTATTTTAGAAAATTTAAGACAAGCAAAAAGGAGAATGTGATGAGTGATATGCTGCATCTGGTTTAGTAGATCTGGAACTCATACTTTCCAGTCTATCTTGGGAATTTGTCATCATCGAAACCTGCATTTACCAATGTCTTGCAGATTTGTGTGATATGTGGCGACTTGCCTCCACAATCTCCCCCTTTTTGATGATGACAACCTGTATACATCTAAAACACCAAATATGCAACATATACACACGCACACAAGTATACACAAGCTCCCCCTTTCTTTTGCACTATGAGGCTGTAGAACAATAGTCATCCAAATGTTGTTAATATCCTGAACTATTGGCTTTGGCTTTGGCTTTGGTGTTTGCTTGCAACATTGTCTTCTCCCCCTTTGACACCATCAAAAAGAGAAGAGGAACGCATCAAATAACATAGTACAGACAATAGGTGATAGTTGATTACCAAACTTCACACACAAGCATGATAATGAACAAGAATCTTGAATTAATAGATAATGACGAACACATGTAATGAAAGTTCAGGCACAGAGAATACAAAACAAATGAAAAGTACACAGACTAAGACATATAAGCAAATATGAAATATGCAATTATGAATCTAATAACCACGCCCCCGTCCTCGTCCTCTCCCTCGGTATGGAGCATCTGGATTGTGGTAAGGATCAGAGAAGTCCAAAAAGGCTTCGACGGACATGTTGAGATGACTAAGAGCGTTGGTGATTTCCCAATCTTGCCGCTCATGTGATTCAACCAGAGAGTCAATACGGGCGTCCATCTGAGTAGAAAAAGAGTTGAACCTTTCATTTTGGGCATGAAGGTCAGCTCTAATTTGCTCCATCTGAGTGTCTTGACGCCTTATGAAGTTTTGTTGTTCTAACTGCATTGACTGCACCATAGTAATGACTTCGGAGTTATCTGAAGGCGGAGGAGGTGATGAGTGCTCAGAGGGTTGGTAG